ATTTGCCTCCGTGTTCACCTGATTTGGATTCTGCTGATCCTTGAGGTGTCTCTCCAGATCCTTTGGCTTTCTTCTCATTCGATTCGCGGCCATGCTCAGCGGATTTGGCGTCTGCTGATGCTGGAGGCTTTTCATCGCCATGTTTGCTAGTTCTCTCTGCTGACTTTCCTCCATGTTCAGCTGATTTGCCTTCTGCCGATTCTTGATGCTTCTCACCAGATGACAGGCCTTTGTTCTCTGCGGATTTTCCGCCATGCTCAGCTGATTTGCCTTCTCCGGATTTTCCTCCATGCTCCGCTGATTTGCCTTCTGCGGATTTTCCTCCATGCTCAGCTGATTTGCCTTCTGCGGATTTTCCTCCATGCTCAGCTGATTTGCCTTCTGCGGATTTTCCTCCATGCTCAGCTGATTTGCCTTCTGCAGATCCTTGATGCTTCTCACCGTATGATTGGCCTTTGTTCTCTGCGGATTTTCCACCATGTTCAGCTGATTTGGCTTCTACGGATCCTTCATGCTTCTCACCGGATGATTGGCCTTTATTCTCTGCTGATTTTCCTCCATGTTCAGCGGATTTCCCTTCTCCTGATTTGCCTCCATGTTCAGCTGATTTGTCTTCTGCAGATCCTTGATGCTTCTCACCGGATGGTTGGCCTTTGTTCTCTGCTGATTTGCCTCCATGTTCAGCTGATTTGGCTTCTACGGATCCGTGATGCTTCTCACCGGATGATTGGCCTTTGTTCTCTGCTGATTTTCCTCCATGTTCACCTGATTTGCCTTCTGCGGATCCTTGATGCTTCTCACCGGATGATTGGCCTTTGTTCTCTGCGGATTTTCCACCATGTTCAGCTGATTTAGCTTCTACGGATCCTTGATGCTTCTCACCGGATGATTGGCCTTTATTCTCTGCTGATTTTCCTCCATGTTCAGCGGATTTCCCTTCTGCTGATTTGCCTCCTGCAGATCCTTGATGCTTCTCACCGGATGGTTGGCCTTTGTTCTCTGCTGATTTTCCTCCATGTTCAGCTGATTTGCCTTCTACAGATCCTTGATGCTTCTCACCGGATGATTGAGCTTTGTTCTCTGCTGATTTTCCTCCATGTTCACCTGATTTGCTTTCTGCGGATCCTTGATGCTTCTCACCGGATGACTGGCCTTTCTTCTCTGCGGATTTTCCTCCATGCTCAGCTGATTTGTCTTCTGCGGATTTTCCTCCATGCTCAGCTGATTTGCCTTCTGCAGATCCTTGATGCTTCTCACCGTATGATTGGCCTTTGTTCTCTGCGGATTTTCCACCATGTTCAGCAGATTTGGCTTCTACGGATCCTTGATGCTTCTCACCGGATGATTGGCCTTTATTCTCTGCTGATTTTCCTCCATGTTCAGCGGATTTCCCTTCTGCTGATTTGCCTCCATGTTCAGCTGATTTGCCTTCTGCGGATGCTTGATGCTTCTCACCGGATGACTGGCCTTTGTTCTCTGCTGATTTTCCTCCATGTTCAGCTGGTTTGCCTTCTACAGATCCTTGATGCTTCTCACCGGATGATTGAGCTTTGTTCTCTGCTGATTTTCCTCCGTGTTCAGCTGATTTCCCTTCTGCTGATTTTCCTCCGTGTTCAGCTGATTTCCCTTCTGCTGCTTTGCCTCCATGTTCAGCTGATTTGCCTTCTGCAGATCCTTGATGCTTCTCACCGGATGATTGGCCTTTGTTCTCTGCGGATTTTCCACCATGTTCAGCTGATTTGGCTTCTACGGACCCTTGATGCTTCTCACCGGATGATTGGTCTTTATTCTCTGCTGATTTTCCTCCATGTTCAGCTGATTTCCCTTCTGCAGATCCTTGATGCTTCTCACCGGATGGTTGGCCTTTGTTCTCTGCTGATTTTCCTCCATGTTCAGCTGATTTGCCTTCTACAGATCCTTGATGCTTCTCACCGGATGATTGGCCTTTGTTCTCTGCCGATTTTCCACCATGTTCAGCTGATTTGCCTTCTGCAGATCCTTGATGCTTCTCACCGGATGGTTGGCCTTTGTTCTCTGCTGATTTTCCTCCATGTTCAGCTGATTTGCCTTCAACAGATCCTTGATGCTTCTCACCGGATGATTGAGCTTTGTTCTCTGCTGATTTTCCTCCGTGTTCGGCTGATTTCCCTTCTGCTGATTTTCCTCCGTGTTCAGCTGATTTCCCTTCTGCTGCTTTGCCTCCATGTTCAGCTGATTTGCCTTCTGCAGATCCTTGATGCTTCTCACCGTATGATTGGCCTTTGTTCTCTGCGGATTTTCCACCATGTTCAGCTGATTTGGCTTCTACGGACCCTTGATGCTTCTCACCGGATGATTGG